TAATCTTCCTCCAATGTGCATTTAAAAAGCACACATGAGAAAAGCAGGGATTTAACAGCATGTGGATGAAGGATCACTAGAAACATCTTCTGTAGGTTAGAAAGCAAACTCTTTTAAGATTGGTTGCGAGACTGCAGCCTTTTCTTTTTTTAAAAGTAACTGAAAAGCAAATCATGGCTGCATATGTGCATAGACCCAGGACTCACTCATATGATCACGAGACCCCTTGATATTTGTAATGAGTATGAGTTACTCGTGCGTAAACTGGTGGCTCTCTAGGCTGATTTGCCTTGTTAAACCTTTCTGACTGCACAGCCCCTTCTGATCATGACTGTCTCAGTCACTAGCAGAATCCGTCAGTGGGCGTTTCTTGAATCTCTTCCAACATAAGAGTTGTTTGACACCCAATCTTCTCCGCCTCTCACTGCGCGGGAGCCTTCTGCGCAGGGTGGGCGTGGGTAGCGGGGGACCTGTCCCCTCCTCACTGAGTTCCAGTGAAGAGTCCGTGAGCCCTCTCTCCGATTTTCCCATCTGCTCACTTTTGCTCCTGGTGTTGCGCTTAAATGCTTCCCCTCCACTGAGTCGCCTCTCCCCTGCTGCTGGGTCCTTCTCCAGCATCATCCAGGAGCCTCCCCTTCGCCTCCCGCTCTGATGTCAGTTCCCTGACATCCACCTCCCCCCCAGAATCCCCTCCACCCCTGGGCCGACCGGTGGGACCAACATCGTCCCCTTCGTCGGCCGAGGAGGCGGGGAAACCCCGGAAGGAACTGTCACCATCTTCCGTGGGTTCGAAACCCGCTTCCCAATCGCTCTTCCACCGACCAACGGGGTGGTCTTCCCGTCTGATGCTTCTTCCTCCGAAACCTCTCCTCCCTCCTCGGAGTCAGAAAATCCCTCAAAACCTCTTCCTCATCTGTGGTTCCAAATTGCTCCTCCCAGAATCTCTCCAGGGGTTTGGGTTTGTCCGGGAACCGGTGGTGGAATACCTCCACCAGATACCTGTCCTCGACGGCTTCCGTGGGGACCCACGTGTTTCGGACCTGGGTTCCCCTTCCCACGCTACCAAATACTCCACCCGGCGCCCTTGCCACCTTGAGTCCAGTATTTCCGTGGCCCTGTGGTGGTGTTCCCTTTCTTCTACCTGCGGGTGTGTGGTGACTTCTCCCTCTTGCCCCTGGAAGCTCCCTGCCATCAATGGTGGTCACTTGCAAGGGAAAATCCAAAGGCAGTAAGTGGAGCTGGTGCTCTAATGCAAAGTCCTTGCTGAAGAAATTACATGAGCTGCCTGAATCCAGCATGCCTTTCACCTTGACTGGGTGCCCGTTTGGGAGTTCTAGCACCACTTCGATGGCTATTGCCGCCTTGGGGGGGTCTGGTTGGGGCACTTTTACTGGTGGCTGGCTTGGCTGTTGTGCCCCTTGATTGGCAGCCAAGCGTTCTCGGTTCCCTGTTCCTGTTCCTTTACCACCTCCTCCTCACCCCCTGCGGCTCCCACCATTCCTTGCCAAGCCTTTCTTTGAGGGCAGGCTCTGGCAAAATGGCCTGGCCGCTGGCAAAGGTAACACCTTTTGGAGGTTTTCCAATCCTTTCCCTCCTTCTTGCGCCTTCGCTGGTGCTTGAAACTTCCCGCGCGCGCCCCATCTATTTCCATTGGCTCTGCTGGCGGGGAGGGCTGCCTTGGTATTTCAGGAATGCGGTAGTCATGGCAACGTTGCTCTCTCCCTTCCCGCCTCTCCTGGGCCCGCGCTTCCTGGCGCACGCCAATCGCAAGCACAGCCTTGGTCAGCTGATCCATCCCCTGTGGGCGGGGTGCGCGGGAAAGTTCATCCTTAACCGTTGGGGACAACCCCTCCTCGAATAACATCTGTATGGGTTCGGAGCCCAGTTCCCACCCGAGGCGATGAACTATCATGGCAAAGCGTGACCAGTAGTCCCTGACTGACTGGCTCCCCTGTTTACAGTTCATCAATTCCCGCTTAGTCACACTTTTTTTGAACATCAGTGGAAAACATCGCGTCCATCGCTTGGAAGAATTTCCTCAGGTCCTGCATGGCGGAATTCTGTGTCGCCATGAGGGGTCTGACCCATTCTCTGGCCCCGTCCTGCAGGTGACCCACAACATATGCCACCCGCGCCGCGTCGTCTTCAAAATCGTTATGCTGCAATTCCAATGCGTACTCTATTTCCGTTCTAAACGCACTGTATTCTTGCGGCTTCCCCCCAAACTTGTGCACCAGTCCCGGTACCTTCCTTGCTATGGGGGTGGGTCTGACCTGTGCATCTTGAGACCGCCTTCGTCCAGCCGTGCCGTCAGAAAGGCCACATGCTGCTCCAAATCTCGGATCCTCTCCTCCAGCGAAAGCCCTCCAGCTCCTCCCCCTTGGGTGCCTGCTTCTCCGGGCTTGCTCATGATGCTGCCTGCCTGCTGCTGCGCACGAGCAACTTTCAGGGACTGACGGATTGCTGTAATGAGTATGAGTTACTCGTGCGTAAACTGGTGGCTCTCTAGGCTGATTTGCCTTGTTAAACCTTTCTGACTGCACAGCCCCTTCTGATCATGACTGTCTCAGTCACTAGCAGAATCCGTCAGTGGGCGTTTCTTGAATCTCTTCCAACATAAGAGTTGTTTGACACCCAATCTCTCCGCCTCTCACTGCGCGGGAGCCTTCTGCGCAGGGTGGGCGTGGGTAGCGGGGACCTGTCCCCTCCTCACTGAGTTCCAGTGAAGAGTCCGTGAGCCCTCTCTCCGATTTTCCCATCTGCTCACTTTTTGTTCCTGGTGTTGCGCTTAAATGCTTCCCCCTCCACTGAGTCGCCTCTCCCCCTGCTGCTGGGTCCTTCTCCAGCATCATCCAGGAGCCTCCCCTTCGCCTCCCGCTCTGATGTCAGTTCCCTGACAATATTCTTGCAATCACCTGAATACCACACATATGCAAGCTAGCTCTCAGAGTGGGATGGAAACACAGGGACTAAAAGAAAGGAGGCACAATAACAAATAAGAAAAGTCTCCCTCTAAACTTTCTTTACAGGTTCCAACTTGTGGAGTATCATTTTCTTTTTTCTTTTTTTAATATACATTTTTATTAGTTTTTACATGTATTTTCCAAACAGAACATATCATCTCATATCATCTTCTACAACATTTTGGCTATTTGGCATCAACCACATCTAATAATTTTCAAACCTCATCTCTTAATCTTACATTTGCTATCCTAACTATTACTTTTAATAATCTATAACTTAAAATCCATTCTCATAAATCTTTTCTGCAATATTTCATATAGTTCTCCTTACAAAACTTCTTGTAGTCCTACAAGCATGGTCAGTTGGTTACAATTGTCTTTCAGATAACTCATAATTTACTCCAGTCTTTCAAGAATTTCTGGTCCCACTGGTTTCCAATTCTCATTGTCATCTTATCCAATTCTGCGTAGTCCATCAATTTCATCTGCCATTCCTTTTTTGTCAGTACTTCTTCCTGCTTCCATTTCTGTGCCAATAATACTCTTGCTGCGGTTGTCACATATAAAAACAGTTTTTTATCTTGTCTTTTAACGTCAGTGCCTACAATACCAAGTAAAAATGCTTCTTTTTTTAAATAAATGTATATTTCAACAACTTTTTCATCTCATTATAAATAATTTCCCAGAAGCCTTTCACTTTCTTACATTCCCACCACAGATGATAAAAAGTGCCTTCCTTTTCCTTACATTTCCAACATTTATTACTTATTTTATACATTTTAGCTAATTTCACTGGTGTAATATACCATCTATACATCGTTTTCATTACATTTTCCCCCAAAGCATTGCATGCAGTAAATTTTGTTCCTTCTTTCCATAATTTCTCCCAGTCTTTTAGCTGTATATTATAACCAAAGTCTTTGGCCCAATGTATCATAACCGACTTAACCTTTTCATCTTTCAAATGCCATTCCAACAGCAATTTATACATTTTTGACAATGTTTTAAATTTGTTATTTAATATTTACATTTCAAATTTTGACTTAGTATAACCAATCATAGAATCATAGAATCATAGAATCATAGAATTGGAAGAGACCACAAGGGCCATTGAGTCCAACCCCCTGCCAAGCAGGAAACACCATCAGAGCACTCCTGACATATGGTTGTCAAGCCTCTGCTTAAAGACCTCCAAAGAAGGAGACTCCACCACACTCCTTGGCAGCAAATTCCACTGTCAAACAGCTCTTACTGTCAGGAAGTTCTTCCTAATGTTTAGGTGGAATCTTCTTTCTTGTAGTTTGGATCCATTGCTCCGTGTCCGCTTCTCTGGAGCAGCAGAAAACAACCTTTCTCCCTCCTCTATGTGACATCCTTTGATATATTTGAACATGGCTATCATATCACCCCTTAACCTCCTCTTCTCCAGGCTAAACATGCCCAGCTCCCTTAGCCGTTCCTCATAAGGCATCGTTTCCAGGCCTTTGACCATTTTGGTTGCCCTCCTCTGGACACGTTCCAGTTTGTCAGTGTCCTTCTTGAACTGTGGTGCCCAGAACTGGACACAGTACTCCAGGTGAGGTCTGACCAGAGCAGAATACAGTGGCACTATTACTTCCCTTGATCTAGATGCTATACTCCTATTGATGCAGCCCAGAATTGCATTGGCTTTTTAGCTGCCGCGTCACACTGTTGGCTCATGTCAAGTTTGTGGTCAACCAAGACTCCTAGATCCTTTTCACATGTACTGCTCTCAAGCCAGGTGTCACCCATCTTGTATTTGTGCCTCTCATTTTTTTTGCCCAAGTGCAATACTTTACATTTCTCCCTGTTAAAATTCATCTTGTTTGTTGCCCAGTTCTCTAATCTGTCAAGGTCATTTTGAAGTGTGATCCTGTCCTCTGGGGTGTTATCCACCCCTCCCAGTTTATCCATTTTTCTTTAAAACTTTCATTAATTTGGCAATAGTGCATCCAATCATTTGCGTATTCTTTTACCTCTTCACAAGGTTTAATTTTCCAATTATTTCCTTCTTTTACTAACTTTTCATATGCGGCCCAATTTTTACTCATATTTATCTTCTTTACATTTATTGCTTCCAAAGGTGACAACCACCATGGTGTTTTACATTCTAATAGGTTTTTATAGCTATCCCATATTTGATATAGAGATCTTCGGAATATGTGGTTTCCAAATCCTTTATGCACTTTTGTTTTGTCATACCTTAAATATGCGTGCCAACCAAATCTATTATCAAATCCTTCTAAGTCCAACAAATCTGTATTTTCTAACAACATTCTTTCCTTCAACCAACAGAGGCAGGATGCTTCATAGTGTAACTTCAAGTCTGGCAAGGCGAAGCCCCCTCTTTCTCTAGTATCAGTTAACAATTTAAATTTAATTCTTGGTTTCTTCCCCTGCCAAATAGATCTTGATGTTATTTTCTGCCCCTCCTTAAATAATGTGGAGTATCATTTTCACCAGGGCCAGCCCACTCATGAGTCAAGCTGAAGCAACTGCCTCAGGCGGCAGGATCCATAGGGGCAGTAGACCCAGTCTCCAATGAATGCATTGCCCACTGCTACTGCAGCAACAGGCTGCTGTGCTTCTTGGAGGCTGGATCTGTGCCTCCTCAGCAACCCCACCCCTGCTGCAGTCTCTGCAGTGACCTCCTGGCAAATAGGAGGCACTGCTGGTCCCACCCCACCCTTGTTCCTAAGGGAGATCTCTACTCTCTTATCCCTGATGTAGATCTTCACTCAGCCCTTCTCCCCTGGCAAGGTGGGGGGGGTGCCATTTTGTGGTTCGCTCAGGGCCCAAAATGTCTTGGACCAACACTGATTTTCACTGTCTTCTAACTCTCAGCTGCTTTGGTTACTTATTTGATTTTTGATACTGTCACTTTGCTCTGGAAACTGTTCACCTAGTTTCTAATTTTAAAGACTGTTGAAGCAGAACGACCTGTCTTGTCTCTTGCCATGGAATCAGTTAAAGTAACTACCACTGATGTGCAGAAATGTGCATCTCTGTTGTGTTTTGGAACTGTCTGTTACATTTGCTATTGCATATCAGGTTAACAGGAATACACAACGAAGTGTAAGCAGCTGTTCTGGTGGAATTTACACACATTCCCCGTTATGCACAAACACACACCTTCAAAAATAATACTACAGTGGTACCTTGGAAGTCAAACAGAATCTGTTCTGGAAGTCTGTTTGACTTCCAAAACGTTCGTAAACCAAGGTGCAGCTTTAGATTGGCTGCCGCATTGGACTTTCAGGTTCCAAAGAACGTTCGTAAACCGGAACAGTTTGCGGCGTTCAGGACCCAAAACGTTTGAATCACAAAGCGTTTGCGATCCAAGGTACAACTGTACTGCATTTCAAAATCGGATGGGGGCAGATATACTGATGGATTGGCTATCAATGACTTTTAATAGTTTGACAAATTCATTTGAATTTATTCCACTTCATTTTATTTTGTACCAGATATCCTTTCCTTAATGTATATCATTTGCACTTTTACAGTGCCCTTGATACAGGATTTTTCTAAAATAAGTTCACCTCTAGATAAATGCTACTTTGTAGTGCCTGGAGTTTACACACACGGGGGGGGGGGGGGTTGCCTGAATGAGGCCATCACCTTGCTGAAGCTAAGCAGGTCTGGGACTGGAGAGGGCTTGTAGAAGCAGCTGCCTGCAAACCGCCTGCACATGGACTGCCTTGGATTCCATGATGGAAGAAAGACAGGCTATGAATACGTTCACACAGACCGCCTTCCCATTCTCTGCTTATTTGAGAGCCAGTGTGGTGTTGTGGTTAAGAGCGGCAGTCTCGTAATCTGGGGAACCGGGTTCGCGTCTCCGCTCCTCCACATGCAACTGCTGGGTGACCTTGGGCCAGTCACACTTCTCTGAAGTCTCTCAGCCCCACTCACCTCACAGAGTGTTTGTTGTGGGGAGGAAGGGAAAAGAGAATGTTAGCCGCTTTGAGACTCCTTTGGGTAGTGATAAAGCGGGATATCAAATCCAAACTCCTCCTCCTCCTCAAACTCTTCTTCTTCTTCTTCTTCTTCTTCTTCTTCTTCTTCTTCTTCTTCTTCTTTTCTCCTCCTGCCGGCCCCTGCATCTCCACAAGTCTGCTCCAGGGAGTCTCCCTAACTCTCCTGAGCAATTTTGGGCTCACATGGGGCAGCAGAAGAAAAGGAAGACTGAAGTCCATTACGCTGGTGGACCGACAACACCAGATGTCAGACTTTGTTTCTATGGTTTGCTAAGACAAGAGGCGATCAAATGCATTGGGGAAAACTGTCATGAAACAGAAAGTCATGTTTTTCCTACTTATTACGTAGAAAGTTGATCTATAGATGTTACAAAACAATATAGACCTCTGCAAAATGTTACTTTACTGCATGTTTTAGTTAAATATACAACAATGTTCTGGCACTGAACATCGTTTTCTTTTTCAGTTGAGCAGTTATATTTGGGGGTAGAAGAGGGGGAGAAGAAAGATGAAGTGAGCCCTGATTTCACAATGCTCACACATAAGGAAGTAATAATCACATATTATAAGCACAATTTAATAATCCCATTTTTCCTTTCAAGTTAATGACTGTGGTGTTTCTAGCAAAACTATTCATTACTGTGCACAGTAAGCCCAAACTGTGTATAATGTTCATCCAGCTTCTTTATAGAAAGTGTACATTCTAAATAAAATAATTATGGTGTTCATCATCGTAGACATGTTGAACAACTGTACATAATATGCACTGACTTGACCTGAAAACAGCATATTAGTGAAGGCAAATTGGGAAATGTGCATATCTAGAGATGTGCATATCATTTAACATGATCTGATTATTTTTAGAAGGCTTTTAAGCACTTGAACACAAAAGCAAAAGAGTGTGTTTGCTCACATAGTTTCAGAAGAAGTCTGAGAAGGATGGAAGCTTGCAATCACTTACAGGCCCTGAGGCAAATTGGAAAAATATGGTTAGTAAATCAGTTTCATGCCAATGCCCCTGTGATCTTTTGCCTGCTTTTGGAGGCAATATCCCTCCCCAGCCTTTGGGTGAAAGGTTCTTCCAAAGTTTTTTGCAATTCTTTGGTAGGACACATTTAAAAGAGCTCCTACGAGTTTGGGATGTCATTTTCACTTTGGTTGTTTTAATTCAAACACTGGAAGAGTTACGTGATCCATTGAAATATTTTGTGGGAGAATCTGACATACAGAATGGATAGTGCATAATGCATATAATACTCATTGAACAAACCTTGGTGTTTAGATTTACAAAAAAGGCATATTTAAGTGGCACTGCCTGCATTGCAGGGAATTGAACTAGATGACCCTTGGGTTACCTTCCAAATCTGTGATTCTATTATTCTTACATAATGGAAGTTAAAAAACAGTTCAGTTACAATAGGATAATGTGCAAAAGGAGAAGCTGTGCATTCCTGTCAGCTAGCCAGCTGCATGCGTTGCTGCACTTAGCAGAAAAATACTCCCGGCAGCCAGCCATAAATTCCTTTCTTTATTTTCTTCTGACAAGATTACATGCAGAATAAACAAAGCGACCCGTCTCTCATGACGCGTTGCTCTAACTACTTTCTCTTTCCCTCTCCCTCGAGACCAACAGAGCCAACGGCTCAACCCTTCCGTTTTCCCCTGTGACGTGGATCCCCCTCTCTGAAGCACCCCTTCCTCCCCAGACTCACTATCCTCTTCTCTGTCTTCTGAGGAGGACTCAGTACTGAGCAGTGGAGATAGTTCCCTGTATCCTCTAATTCTTTCCTCCCTCGCTGCTTGCAGTTCCCTGACAATTCCTCAGCATGTCAAGATGCTTGATTCTGACATTAATTTAAAACCAAATTCAGGACTAGTTTACTCTTGCTCTTGACTGCATGTGCTCTTGACTGCATGTGCATTTAATGAGCACATACCAAGTCCTGATATGCATAAGTGAATGATCTGTTGTGCATTAATGTCCCCAGAAAGAGCTTTCACATTATCCACTGTCACCTCAGGTCTATGAATGCCAAAGACCAATGCTTCTTTGGGCAAAACTAGGTGAGACACCATGCACACAGTTGGCAGTTGTGCTTGTAGCTTTAGAAAAGTGAATAATAGCCATTGGGGCCTGGATCCAGACTGAGGCATTAACATCTTTGTCCTGCATCAAGGGGCAAAGTGCCAGCTCTTTACATTGGAATTAAAGTACTTGTTGGTGCAAATGGGCACTTTTCCAAACGCAAATAGCACACATGGGCCTCCAATTTAAGCTGGAACCATAGTAGGGGCAGGAATTAAAGCTCCTTCCATAAAGGACTCAGTCCGGATTGTGGCCACTATGCCTGCAATTTTCTTTTATTACAATAAAATAAAACAAAAATCAAATTAAACCTTTACAACCTTTTTTCCTTTTACTTATTTCCGTGACCTCCTCTCACCTCCCTGCTTTGTATTCTAGTTTAAATCGTATTTCCAGCAAATCCTTCTAACCTTCTTTTCATTTACTTATTTTAACATTCAATAATATAATTAATCCTCCTCTATCCTCAATTTCTATACTTCATTTTTACTTAATCCATTATGTCATATCTGCCAAAACGACCTAATATTCTTTTTCCAACCTCTTTCTAACATTCTTTTATGCTGCAATATTTTTGAAGATATATTTTAAATTTTTTTCCAATCTTCTTCCATCGACCCTTCTCCCTGGTCTCGAATTCTGCCGGTCATCTCAGCCAGTTCCATATAGTCCATCACTTTCATCTGCCATTCTTCTCGGGTAGGCAATTCTTGTGTCTTCCAGTATTTCCCAATGAGTATTCTTGCTGCTGCTGTCGCATACATGAAAAAAGTTCTATATTCACTTCGCACCAATTGGCCGACCATGCCCAAGAGGAAGGCCTCAGGTTTCTTTAGAAAAGTATATTTCAAAACCTTTTTAAATCATTATATATCATTTCCCAGAAGGCCTTGATCTTTGGGCACGTCCACCAAAGGTGAAAGAAAGTACCTTCATTTTCTTTACATTTCCAACATTTATTATCGGGCGAATGATAGATTTTTGCTAGCTTGACTGGGGTTAAGTACCACCTATAAATCATTTTCATTATATTTTCTCTTAAGGCATTACAAGCCATAAATTTCATACCTGTGGTCCATAACCGTTCCCAGTCAGCAAACATAATATTATGTCCAACAGCTTGTGCCCATTTAATCATAGCAGATTTAACCGTTTCATCCTGTGTATTCCATTTCAGCAACAAGTTATGCATTCTTGACAAGTTCTTAATTTTAGGCTCTAACAATTCCGTTTCCAGTTTGGATTTTTCCTCCTGGAAACCAATCTTTTTATCTAGGTTAAAAGCCTCCCTTATTTGATAATAATGAAGCCAGTCTCAAACTTTAGTTTTCAGTTTGTCAAAGCTCTGCACCTTTAGTTTATCTCCAACCTGTTCTAGAATTTCACAGTATTTTGGCCAATTTGTCTCCATATTAGTTTTTTTCAATGCCTTAGCCTCCATTGGTGACAGCCACCTTGGTGTTTTACTTTCCAACAAATCCTTATATCTCACCCAAACATTAAACAATGCTTTCCTGACAATATGGTTCTTAAAGGCCTTATGCGCTTTAACCTTGTCATACCATAAATATGCATGCCATCCAAACACATTATCAAAACCTTCTAGGTCCAAAATGTCCGTATTTTCAAGAAGTAGCCAATCTTTCAGCCAGCAAAATGCGGCTGATTCATAATAAAGTTTAAGATCTGGCAGGGAAAATCCACCTCTTTCCTTTACATCTGTTAAAATTTTAAATTTTATTCTAGGCTTTTTGCCCTGCCAGATAAATTTAGAAATATCTCTTTGCCACCTCTTGAAGCAGTCCATTTTATCAACAATTTGCAGTGTTTGAAACAAAAACAGCATTCTAGGCAATACATTCATCTTTATCGCAGCAATTCGGCCCAACAATGATAACTTCAATTTTGACCATATTTCCAAATCCTTCTTTACTTCTAACCAACATTTTTCATAGTTATCTTTAAACAAATTCACATTTTTAGCAGTCATATGCACCCCTAAATATTTCACTTTATTAACTAATGTTAATCCTGTCTCCTTCTGAAACCTCTCTTTCTCAATCTCTGTAAGATTTTCTCTAATACCTTAGTTTTCATCTTATTCAATTTAAAACCTGCTACTTGACCAAATTCTTGAATTAATTGCAATACTCTTTTTGTACTGGATTCTGGCTCCTGTAGTGTCAAAACTAAGTCATCAGCAAAAGCTTTCAATTTGTACTGTTTAGCTCCGAGTTGTATACCTTTAACCAATTGGTCTTTCCTAATCATATTGAGCAAAACCTCCAGGACCGATATAAAAAGCAGTGGGGAGATTGGGCAACCCTGTCTTGTTCCTTTCTCTATCTTAAATTCTTCTGTAACTACGTTATTTACGATCAACTTAGCTTTTTGTTCTGAATAAATTGCACCTATACCATTTTCAAAACTTTGGCCTACCCCCATCCCCTGCAAATTTTTCTTCATAAAATTCCAAGAAATATTGTCAAAGGCTTTCTCCGCATCCACAAATATTAAAACCGCTTTAGCATTGATATTAACTTGCAATTTTTCTAGAATATTAATAATATTCCTCGTATTATCTGACAGATGTCTCCCCGGGAGAAAGCCCGCTTGATCTTTATGAATTTCTTTCACCAATACATTTTTTAATCTTTTAGCCATAATTTCCGCAAAAATTTTGTAATCCACATTAAGTAGGGATATGGGACGGTAGTTCTTCAACTGTGTCTTTTCCACTTCTGTTTTTGGTATAAGTGTAATGTATGCTTCTTTCCACGACTCGGGTGCTTTTCCTCCCTGTAGTATTTCATTGCAAACTTCTTTCAAAGGTTGCATTAACCATTCTTTCAAAGATTTGTAGTACTTTGCAGTTAAACCATCTGGTCCTGGAGATTTGCCCAATTTCATATTCTGAATGGCTCCTTCCACCTCTTGATCAGATATTATAGAGTTTAATATTGATTTGCTCTCTTGAGATACTTTTTGTAATCCATTAATTTTCAAAAACCGATCAATGTCTAATTCTTTCTGGGTCTCCTGGGTGTATAACTGTTTAAAATAGTTCTGAAAGCACTTCCGAATCTCTCCAGGATTCTGTATATTCTTCCCTTCTACTACCAAATTCGTGATCGTATTCAGCTTTTGTCTTTTTTTCATTTGCCAAGCCAAAAATTTCCCACACTTATTTGCCGATTCAAATGTCTTTTGTTTCATCTGTTTGATCTTCCATTCTATTTCCTGATTCATCAATTTCATGTATTGTACTTGGTATAACTTTATCTCTCTTAAAATCTCCTGTGAGTTCGGTTTCGCCCTCAGTCTTTTTTCTCCATCCTTAATTTTCTCCAAAATTTTTTCTCTCTTCTCATTTTGATGTCTTTTCCTAATTGCATTTTGTTGTATCAAAAATCCTCTCATCACCGCTTTACTGGCATCCCAAATCACTCTTTTCTCAGTCGTAGTGTTCATATTTATCTCAAAGTAGTCTCTCAAATTTTTCTGGGCCTTTTTGATAATTTCCTCATTCCTAAGCAAGGCGTCATTCATCCTCCATCTGAAAGCTCCAATTGGCGTTAGTATCATTTCAATCTTTACTGGATTATGATCAGAGCAAATTTTCGGGCAAATCACCGCTTTTTTATCTTAGGGGCCAGTCCCCTGGTTATCCAGATTTGGTCTATTCTTGTCCATGTCATTTTTGCTTCAGAGAAGAAGGTTCCTTCTCTTTCCAAGGGGTTCTTTATTCTCCAAATGTCCACAAGATCCATATTGTCAGTCATTTCAAAAAATGTCTTTGGTAATCTTCCATCTTTCGTCACCGTTTGTCTTTGGGCTTTATCCATATTTGTAGACACTACTCCATTCATGTCTCCCATCAAAATAATGTTGTAATCCAAATAATCCAGTAGGGTTTCATGCAATTTTTTAAAGAATTCTGATTTTCCTTCATTTGGTGCATAAACACCTAATATCAAAAACTTCTGGCCGTGAAACTGAATTTCAATTGCTATATATCTTCCTTGATCATCTTTAAACATAAATTTTGGTGACAGGCATTCCTTTGCATAGAGTACTACTCCTCTTTTTTTCACATTATCCGATGAGATAAATTCTTCTCCCAATCTTTTGTTTATCAAAATTTTCCGATGTAGCCTTGTCACATGCGTCTCTTGTAGACAAATCAAGTCCAAATGTTCTTTTTTTAATGTATGAAATACTCTCCCCCTTTTTGCCGACGAATTTAAGCCATTAATGTTCCAACTTAAAACTTGCAGTGTCATTTTGTACTTGCTCTCCTTCTCCTCCAACAGCCCCAAGAAGTTTGTCTATATCTGTCGGTGGCGTTGGTTTCGCTTTTTTTTGCAAACTCTTATCCAGTACAGCAGGGTCTTTTCCGAGTCCTTTCTGTAGATCTTCTTCATATGCGCTCAAAAACTTGTTCTTTTCCTCCACTGATCTTATCTTAGTCTTTCTTCCTTTAAAACTAAAGGATAGACCTTGAGGGAATTCCCACCTAA